TCAGTGGAGTTCAGGCTGAAGATGCTGCAGTTTATTACTGTCAGAGTTTCCATGTTATCAACAGTCAGGATGTGTTCACACAGTGAAAAACAGTCGTACAAAAACCTCCCTCAGTCAGACTGAACTGAAACTGAACCTACAGCTGCAGACTGACAGTTCACTGATAATCTCAAACCTTCTGTCCCCTCCACATTAAAAATATGTTCTATATTTCATTGTTTGTTAAAGATACTTTCCATCTATTTATTCTCAACTCTAGTTATTGTAACAAAGACAACTTTAAAAGCATAACGACAATTTGTCCACAATCCACAGTTAAGACTGGTGTAGATTACAGACATCGATTTTTGCACCATGAAAATAAAAAAGTAGAAAATATATTATGTATTTTGTACCACAATGATTAAATCTATTGTCTCGACTTACATCTGGAACGTATTTGGACTCAGCCATCCAATAGATCATGAATAAATCTGAAGCACTGAGAACCAGGGAATTAGAGGATTTTAAAAAGATTCAATATTTTCAGAGTTTGTTATGATACATTTAGAGATTACTGATTATGAGCTATTTATTCAAACATTTTAACAGAAAATTCAGCTCTGCAACGTCGTTTCAGCTAATTAATCAAACATTTTGGTTATTCCCTTTAAAGATTCAAGTCTGTCAAACATTGCTTGAGAAAAGATTATATCTTTCTTCAGTTCTGTAACTATTTCAGAACCTGATGATGAATCAGTCTTCTTTTTTTTAGTTTTTCTGAAACTGGTGAAGTCATCTAATTTATTAAAACAGAAATGAAGACATTCTTATTCATGATGAAGTTTTTATTCAATTCAGAAAATTTCACTCACAATTGCATAAAGCAACAATAAAAGATGGAAAACATAGAAGTTGTAATAAAATAAGAGACAATAGGACTCTGTTGGATACTAGAGACTTCAAACAAACATAGCATCTTGAGTATCAGAGTCCCAGTGAGTCAGATCAGGACTGGGAA